ACTCCTCTATCCCAACAGGGCCTCGTGATTTCCCGTGAGTTTTCGAACAGGTTGTCTGTACTCGTCCTGTCCAAATGGTAGCTACTAGCCACACGTGTCCATATGAGTTTAAATTAATGAACAATAATAAAAATTTTTTTATTAAAATTTTTTTTATCTTTATTGATTTTAGAGAGAGAGGAAGGGAGAGGGAGAGAGAGAGAAACATCGATGAGAGAGAACATCCACGGGCTGCCTCCTGCACGCCCCCCACTGGGGATCGGGCCCACAACCTGGGCATGTGCCCTGGCCGGGAATCGAACTGGTGACCTCTTGGTGCGGGGTCGGTGCTCAACCACTGAGCCACATGGGCTGGGCTGAACAATAATTAAATTTAAACTTAGTCCCTTAGTTACGCTAAGCCACGTTTTTGGTACTCAAGAGCACTCGTGTCCAGTGGCAACTGAACGGGACAGTGCAGGGACAGGTCCTTTCCACCCCCAATGCAGCGTTTGGCAGTGTGGGCTCAGAGCTGGGCCCTCCAGGGTCTCGGACCCGCAGCCTCTCCCGAGGACCCACCCGAACGCAGACCCGCGTCTCACTTCCGCTCTGCCCGCTCAGAACCTGCAATCTGACAAGGTCTCCAGCCGGGTCCTCGGCACACCGAGCTCGAGAAGTACAAGTCCTCGCTCCAGAATGCCACTGAGGCAACGCTTTAAAACATAACTGCTTGAAGTTTTTAGTTTCTTCTCTATTTTTTTTTTATCCTCACCCGAGGACACCTTTTCATTTTTGTTCAGATAAAGCGGGAGAGAGAGAAACATCGACATGAAAGTAACCAAGGGGAGAATATCCCCAACAGAAAAATGGGGGGAAATCAGGCTATTCACACATGCAAGAAGAAGTGCAATTGGTGAGTAAGTATCTGAAAAGATATTTAGCACTACTAGTAATAATTAGTTGATAATAAGTAGCACCGGAACTGTGTGAACTGGGGGGGATTTGGCCATGGTTTGCAGTATTTCAAACATGCCTATCCTTCGGCACTGCACATTTCTTTCAAATAATTGATTCTGATAAAAAATATAATAGCCCTGGCCGGTTTGGCTCAGCGGTTAGAGCATCAGCCTGCGGTCCCGAGAGACCCGGGTTCGGTTCCCGCTAAGGGCATGTACCTCGGTTGCAGTTTGTCCCCGGCCCTGGTTGGTCGTGCGGGTGGCAGCCACTCGATGTGTCCCTTTCACGTCGATGTTTCTCTCTCTCTCTCTCTTCCTCTCTCCCCCTCCCACTCTACCTGAACAAAAAAATGGAAAAATGTTCTCAGGTGAGAATAAAAGAAAAAATATGATAAACTCAACCAGCAGTTCTCAACCTGTGGGTCGCAACCCCTTTGGGGGTCGAGCAACCCTTTCACAGGGGTTGCCTAAGACATAACAGTAGCAAAATTACAGTTATGAAGTAGTAACGAAAATAATTCTATGGTTGGGGGTCACCACAACACGAGGAGCTGTATTAAAGGGTTGCGGCATTAGGAAGGTTGAGAACCACTGAACCCACATGCATGTATATACACACACTTGCATGAAAAAAACCAGTCACTGCATATTTGGGAACTGGTAATTCAAAACAGCTACTAAATAAAATTATAGACATCCATGATCAGTGAGAGAGTCTGGTACAAATGCGTTAAAAATATGTATTCTAGATGTACATATGCATGAAAAAATATCGGAAGGGTATACACCAAAATGTTAACAGTGGCTACCTATGCAGCAAGTTAATAGTAACCTATGGGAATTAATTTTCACTTTCTTTTTCATCTTTTCTTTATTCTCTAAAAATTTTATAGGAATAGAAAAAATGAACAACAAAGCCCGTCCCCTCCCCCATTCCCTCTATTTCAGAAGTTATGCACCTTGACTATCCTGAGATAACTTTACCTTAGAGAAGAGACATGTTAACACTACATCCTCATAACTTCTCGTGACCTCACTGGAAGGTGAGGAGGACAATTCTGGGATAGAAATAATTCCTCAAGCCTTTTTTTTTTTTATCCTTACCTGAGGACATTTTTCCATTTTTTGTTCAGATAGAGTGGGAGGGAGAGAGAGGAACAGAGAGAGAGAGAGAAACATCGATGTGAAAGGGACACATCGAGTGGCTGCCACTCCACGACCAACCAGGGCCGGGGACAAACTGCAACTGAGATACATGCCCTTAGCGGGAACCGAACCCGGGTCTCTCTGGACCACAGGCTGATGCTCTAACCGCTGAGTCAAACTGGCCAGGGCGTTCCTCAAGCTTTTTATTTGACATATTTCTTAAGGCTCTGACTTTACATGGACAGTCAGTGTGAGAGACTGAGGCATTCTAAGGGAACGGGAAAAAAGTTTATGACTGCGCTTTGTTGAAAGTTGTGAGGTCAATCGGATGACGACATTGGTTTCCCCACTGATTCTGGGGTTTATCTGACCGATCTCACGGGATGGGCAAAGGCCCTTTCCTTCCTCTCTGCTTCACATGCACACTTGGTAAGAATGGACAACCCCTGAGAAAAGGCAATACCTTCAGTCTGAAGAGACTGATGATGCCAACTGACGAAAAAATTATTTTTGTGAGTTATACAAACAACAAAAATCATTGCATTAATGTGTCAGACGTTGAAGCATAAAAAGACCAGTGAAAAATTTAAGTATATTAATTAAAGTAATAAAAAGTATGAGGTAATTCCTTGATGATAGAAGTAATTTTTGCCAGGTCACCCTTGAAGTGCATTGCCTCAATTTCTACCACAAAAACTAGATCGTAAGAAATGTTGAGCCCTGGCTGGTGTGGCTCAGCGGTTAGAGCATCAGCCTGCGGTCCCGAGAGACCCGGGTTCAGTTCCCGTTAAGGGCATGTACCTTGGTTGCAGTTTGTCCCCAGCCCTGGTTGGTCGTGCGGGTGGCAGCCACTCGATGTGTCCCTTTCACGTCGATGTTTCTCTCCCCCCCCCCCCCCAAAAAAGAAATGTTGAACAAATATCTGTACATGAATAGATTAACTATATAATTTGTATGTTTCCTTGTGGGGAAAGATAAAGTCAAAGGAATAATTTTTGAGAGTGGACTAGTAGGAATAAAGGATGATGCCAACTACTAAACCATAAAAATGGGCAACTGCAAAAAGAAACATTTGAGCTTTTACTTAGACATCTAATACGCAATTATATTCACTAAAGGATCCTTGAAAAAGACTACATGTCTCACAAATAATAGTGATCAAATCTCACGTTAAAATGTTATTTTTCCTGCTAGTCACACATATAAATAAGGTTGAATGGTGTCAGAGCTGATACTCAAAATATTTAACACCTGGTAGGACCCAGGCCTTGACAATCAAAAGGGATGTCTGACGACGTCGACCACAGGGATGCTGAATTCCTGTCCGCACAGCATTTATCTGTCTGGCTTAATTTCCTCCATCCCATTTATGACTGATGTATTTCAGGACCGTTTAAAATTCTTCAGCAGTACAATGCCGACAAACGGAAATAATTTGCACAGCTAACTAGAAGAGATCCTCCTAATAGATGGATATTTTCCAGCCGAATACTAGGAATCTGTCCCTAAAGAGTGACTTTGGTTGTTGCGATTGTTCTCATTGACCTCGAGGGTTATGAAATAGCACAGCACTGTTTCATTGGTGTGGATCTCAGCCAAGGGACAACCCTTTCGGTACCTGGTTTGACCCGCTTCATAAGGAGAGTTACCTTAGACTGAAAACGGACACAAAGGTGTCACCTGGCTTTCACCCACGTGGGCAGGGGTTCTGTGAGCTGTTGCGTGAAGCACTGTGATGCGGCTAAGGAGCCGGTGCCCAGGGTCAGGGGGAGAGAGCACCCTGATTCACGAGTGATGTCGCCCGGGTCAAAGACCTGGAGCAGCAGTGTGTAACATGCCACAGAGCCGCGTCCCTGACGCAAACATCCCGAAGGTGCAATCACACTCCATATTTTTCTCTTACATGTTGTGACGCAACATGGTTATTTCAGTTTCCAAAGTGCATCATTTATAAAGAAGAAGTATTGTAGCTAATGACAGAAAGTGGTCCACTCTACAAGCACGTACTGTTCTAGATACAGCCCTGTGATCCTCTTACTCGGCAGAAATTCGGGTACAGAATTTCACGGGGCAGCACAAATCGCTGCAACCCTGAAAACGCATCACTGACTGCTGCTCTCGCTGCAACGCCGCACAGCCTGGGACTCGTGTCAGTGGACACCATGGCCACGTGGCGGGCCTTTCCCGACACCTAGAAGCCAATCAAAATCTGATGTGGTCCTTTCTGACATTTAAAAAAGCAACGCCCAATAGTCGGAGTGCACATGCAGGTTATAAAACAGGGAAAAGTAACAGTTACAACTTCTATTAGCAGCTTCCGTCCGTTGGTTACTATGAAGTGAAAGTGGCGATCAATCCTGTTAGGAGAGTTGGAAAGTCCACATATTTAAGGGAGCGGGACGGGAAATCCCTTCCTTGTTTCCTGGATGCCAGTTCTCGGGGGAGTGTTCCTGAGGGTGGGATGACGGTCTGAGTGCGGGATGACGGCCCGAGCGACATTCAGAGAGCCGAGCCAGCCCGAGACCTGCGACATCACCAGAAGCAGGGTCCCCGCTGCCCGCGCGCCGCAGGGACTCCTGCCCGGTGGCCTCCTTTCCTGCACGTGCGTGAATTATTCTGTGCACCCGGAATGGCACGGGTCACCCATGTTTTCACGAGGGTAAGTCAGACACGAATGGCCACGCTAGTCTGTGTCCAAGAACGCAGCTCGCTCTTTATGCGAAGGCAGCTGTGCTATTTACCGGGATTTGTTGAAAATTCCTTAAACTACCCTGTAATTATAACGCAGTCTTACCAACCCCATTCCCATAAAACATAACCTCGGAACACACTCGGTGAGCAAATAAACAGATACAACAAGCAAAACAACAACAAAGGTCCCAACTGCCAGACCCGAGAACGCTGAAAGTCTGTCCTTACCTATGAAATAGGCCAGGAGCACAGCGAGGAGCACGGAGACCCCGACCGCACACAGCGCGGTACACTTCCAGCTGCAGTACTTGGAGGACTTCTTGAATTTGAAAGCACTTCTTGATAGGGTATTTCTAGGCAGTGGCCGAGTAGGCGGCGAATAAACAGAGCCCGAAGCCATTGTGTATCCCGGGGTTGCAGTGCTGAACAGTGGCGTGGTCCCCGTTCCTGTTTTGAATAGGAAATGCCTGTGGAACAGGAGAACATCAACAGACATCAGCATCAAGATCCAGATACGGTGAAATGTGGAGACAGAGACAGCTAGGCATTCGCTCTCCTCTGGGTCTTTTCATCATTTACTTCCTATAGTTTTAAAAACCGAGAAATGAAGAAAATATTTTAACCAGAAAAAGCCAACTCATAAAAATGACTGTGAGGAGGGAGACTGATCTGTGATGTCGACTAGCGTCAGGTAGAACACGTGATGACTGTCCTCGATAGCAAGTCGGTATCTTGAGAGCCCAGAAAGTTATTCTGATCATACCATTTCCTGCACAAAACCATTTAGGAACTTCCCTTTATGAACTGCCTTAGGAACATCTTCACATGTCCCTTTAGACAACTCATCTTGCTACTTTATAGCTACATATATATTTACTGCTATATGAGACTGTGTACTCACATAAACACAAGTGTGCATGACCACGCTCATGTTTTGCAGACTGATTTATTTTCTGGATGTTCATGGAAACATTCTAATCCTAGTCTGCTCTCCCACTAACGAGGACTATCAGGCTTGGCCACAGGTAGCTGGTCAGTCCTCAAGGGAGGCAAATCTATTTTATTTTTAGCTTATGACAAACATAACCAGGAAGGTAAATTTGCTGGGGCAGAGAGAAAGGAAAGGAATCACAGGACACTTTCCAAACCCAACCTAAATAAATGAAGGTGTCAGTACGCAGGTTTCAGATCAAATACGGGAAGCTTCCCTAACAACGGAGCCGTAAACAGGGGTGCAGACTGACTCTGGAAATTGTTTGCTTGCTTCGGAAAATGTCTATGCAGAGACTGAATGACAACAGTGCTAAGGAATTCTTTAGAGATGACTGCTTTTAAGATTCCTAATACATAGTTTACATTTCATATTGTGTTGGCAATTTATAGTTTGTGTCTTAACAGTTATTATTATGTCCCTAATAACATGTTCAATGAGGTCAACGAACTGTGCTCTGCTTTGGCATTCAGGAGGTGCTAGGCTCCCTGGAATATTCTACCATGGTACAGTCTTTTTTTTTTTTTTAAGCTCAGAAACACATGCCTTCGAAACTCTGAGACATTAGTACAGTGGTTCTCAGAGTGGAATATTAAAAAAAATTGTTTTTCTTTATCGATTTTAGAGAGAGAGGAAGGGAGAGGAAGAGGGATAGAAATATCGATAAGAGAGAACATGAACTTGCTGCCTCCTGCACGCCCCCCCACTGGGGATCAGGCCCACAACCTGGGCATGTGCCCTGATCAGGAATCAAACTGGCGACTCTTGGTGCAGGGTCGACGCTCATCCACTGAGCCACACCGGCCGGGCCCACGGTACATCCTTTATGCAAGATGACTTTAGAAGGCACACAGCTGAATCTTTTAAGTTCTAATACTTATGTACTTATTTTAATGTGCGTTAGAAAACAGATGAAATGTGTCAAACAGATTAAGGGGCTAAAAGGACAGAACTTGCAAGTTAGACTGCTGAGGTTTAAATCCTACTTAGCTTCTTACTTAGTATGTGTCCTTGGGTATGTGTTCTTCACTGCTCTCTCTGCTTTTGCTTCCTAATCTGTAAAATGGGGACAGTAATATATCTATCTCTCAGGGTTGTTATGAGGCTTAAACGAATTAACACTTACTGTAAAGTACTTAGAATAGAGTAGGGACAACACAGTGTTTAATAAATTAAAGAGGAATCAAACACATTTTATGTATATTATTGCATAGGAAAGGCTAACCAGGCATTTACGTTACAAAGCGTCTATTTTCAGAAAATGACTAAGTGAACAACAGTGTAGCTGGTGTACAGACACTGCAGAAGTCAGACTGTTCGCCTAACACGGGCAGAGAGGAAGGAATTCAAGAAGAGACAGCAGAGGACCTGGTTTGGAGCCCTTGGTCTATGATTTCCTAGTCAAGGGATCTTAGGAAGCCTCAGGGCTGGTTTTTTGTTTTTCCAACTGTAAAATAGAGGTAATGATTTACTTATCTCACAGGGTTGCAAGTCAATTAATACATCTAAAAGCCTTTGTCAACCACAGAATTAGAACAGATGCAAATGATAATTCTATAAATTATACTAGTGACTGTACTGCGAATCCCTTCTTTTCTCCATGGAACTGCTCCCTACGGCAGACTCAAAGGTCTAGGGCCTGAGTTATGCCGGAAGCAGCATCTTCAGCACCCTCTACCGCGTTCAGTGCAGCGTGGCTCTGAAACATGCGGGCCCTGGAGCCTGCAGTCTGCTTCAGAGACCAGGCTTCCTATCATGAGCTGGATGATGTTTGGTAGATTAGGCAGGTTTGCTGTGCCTCAGTTGTAGCCTCTGTAAAATGGGAACAATAATGGCACCTCTAATATAGGTATTTCATGAGAATTAAATGAAGTAACGTATATGATGCGTTTCCATGTGTTACATGTTAGTATCCAGAACAAGGTAAGCGCTCAGTAAGCATTAACCATTTTTCTTCCTAAATTCACTGTTTGGAATCCATATTCCAAAAGACCAAAGATGATCATTTGAAGGCTTGAAATCCAAATTCAGCGTATAACACCCTCAAAACCGATGTACGCAAAATTCTCTGGTCTACAAATGGGCTACTGGTGATTCCTCACGCTGGCGTGTACCCTGGCCGAGAAGACAGCTGTGTCCCGCCAAGGACGACCTCCTCCTTCGGGTCAGGTACAGGCAACCATTCCCACGACACAGCAGTTCTGCGGTGAAGGCTGTGACGGCAGCCTCGACGGTACACAAATGATCGACAGTGGCTGTACTCACATATGCCTTCTCATGGACTTTGACATTTTAATTTCATATAACTGTCCCATGTCATGAGGTAGTCTTCTTTCCATGTTCTCAATCACATAAAGATGTGAAAACCATTCTCAGCTCATGATCACTGCAAAAACCGGTGACAGGCTGGTCTGGCCTAACCTTTCCTGGTTTAGGGTTATTCACCACCGAGCAACAGCCTACGTCCTCCAGGACCCCGGCAAGGAGAAGGAGGAGCCAGCACTCGGGAGGGGCAGCCCCTCCTCCTGGAGGCGGGGACTGCGAGGCTGGATGAGTGGATGTAACTGAGAAGCTCCCGCTGAGACCCAGTCCCCGTCCTCTCCATCATGTTGCCGTGCGCATTGCCGTCAAAGTGCTTATTACAATGTTATGCTCTTGTTCAGCTGTGTACTTGCCTGGTGGTTAAATAAAGAAAATAATTCAATTTATTTATTTATTTTTCTTTATTGATTTTAGAGAGAGAGGAAGGGAGAGGGAGAGAGAGAGAGAAACATCGATGAGAGAGAACACTGACTGGCCACCTCCTGCATGCCCCTCACTGGGGATCGGCCCAACAACCTGGGCATGTGTCCTGACCAGGAATCAAACGGGTGACCTCTTGGTGCAGGGTCGGTGCTCAACCACTGAGCCACACCGGCTGGGTTTAAATCCCATTTAAAGTGTGTTTTTCCTCCTGAAATCCTCCCTCGTCCTTGCTCTGCCTGACCTCTCGGTCCGACAGCTACTTCAGTGCACGGCCTCCAGGAGGCATGAGATGATGAAAGGGAAAATGCAGGGTGTCCCCCAAAATGTATACAGGGTGCCTGTAGGTTCTACTACATGCTGAAAAGAAAATGTATTTTAATAGACACTGGCTTTATAATTATTCAAATTTACGCATACATTTCTAGGGGACACCTACAGCATGAGTGTGTTGCCGGTTTCCTAATGCCCAGACTTCTGGGTGAACTGGAGCGGACCTGGGTATCACCGTAAGGTGCGGGAGAAATGGGGCGGGAGAGAAAAGGGGTCTCCTCCCAGCCCGGAGAGGATGGCGCAGGGCCCAGGGAGAGAAGCCTGCCCAGGGCTTGGTGGCAAGTCTGGGGTGGGCCAGTCTCCAGAGATGTCCGAGGCCCTCTCTGCTACCTCCACGGCCTGCTGGAGGGTGGAGGGCACAGAAATAGCACCAGGTGACACCATGCCCAGAAACAAGTCACACACGAGAAGCAACCAGCGTGTAGGCCTAGGGCCAAAGACAGTCTTGGTACTAGAGAGAATTTCTGCAGGAATGCAGAGATGGAAAGGATGTGGCTATAACCAAAGTGTTTGAAAGGTACAGAATTTAGGAGATAGAGTCCCCTCCGACGAGAACATTTTCTCATGAAGGGTTAGGAGAAGGGAAAGAGGGGAGTGAGGACAGACGATTCCCTGGGCCTCAGAGACAGAGGGGCGGCCTGGCTCCCCGGAGGATGGGGCCCTGGAGAAGCAGAGACCACCTGGTGGGCCGGAGCCCAGAGAAAATCAGAGTCCTGCAGAGGTCACAGGATCCCACACAGACGATGGATGTGAGCAGTGTCGAGGGGGTGCCGCTCCCCAGAGCTCCCCGAGGTTCCTGCACTCAGCACGACTTGGACGAAGCAGGATTATGTTTGTGGCATAGGAACGGCAGAGTGTGCCGCTGGACCTGAGGCGGCCACGGGCAAGCCAGGCGGGCAGCCTCAGCGGCAGCACCGGGCACACGGACTCAGCGGCTCCCTGCAGAAGGCTCAGCAGAGCCCTGCAGTGCCCCCAGCAGCACGGGAGGAGGGACAGACGGGCCTCTGAGGCGAGGCTTCAAATAAAACGTAGGAATATCCCACAACGCTCTTCAGCGCGCCAAGCGGTGGATAAGACGGTACAGCCACTGCACAGATGCGCCCGTCTTTTCCCATCAGAATGTAAACGCTACGACTCGTACTCCCCTTCCGCAGTTCCAGGATGTGGAAAGTTCCTGGAACACAGTCGTTGCTCAGTCAATACTGGAAATAATGAAATGAAATGAAATGGTGACCATCGTGCCGATGTGGAACGTGAGTCCGGTGGAAATTAAGTCCCTTGGACAAGGACCCACAGCTAACAATAAGTAAGTGAAATGGTAAAATAAAACATAGGTAAATAAAAGTTGGCAATTATGGGGACCAAAATGAAGAGCTCCCTTGGAAAATGTGTTACCGTTGA